AACAACATTTCTCTTGAAGTAGGATCCGTGTGTCCTGATAATGCAATTTCTTTTTCTTTGTTTAATGGAATGTATTGGGGTGACATTGTTCGCATAGCAGGGGATTTCTGTCAGGGCCGCGGTCTGCAGGGCGGGCGGGGTGGGGGAGCTCCATGCGAGGGCCTGGACCGGCGTGGGGGAGGGGGAGAGAGCATGTCCAACATTGCGATTTTAGACCGGAACACGTGTGGGGTGTGTGCTGCGGTCTTCCCGGGAGGGCTAAGGTTCTGGTGGATACTGGGAGGGTGAACAAGGCTGAGAAACAGCTCCGTGGTTCTGCCCGCTCTCCCTGAAACAGTGGGCGCCTCCCCGGGGTGCTGAGGCAGCCTGTCCCCCACCCATGCTGCCCTGGTCTTCACCCACAGAGCTGCCATGCGCAGGTGGGGCCTGGGGCAAGTCCTCGGATCAACTGTGTCCTCAGAAGCAGCCCGCCTGCCCCTGGGGCCCACGGCAAACACCCCATTTAACCAGGCTCCTGCCGGCTGGGCGCTGAGCTCCGCGGAGTCTGGGTTGCTATCGACGTATCAACTTACTGATTTTTTAAAAAGATTCCAGGTCTTTTAAAATCCTTTTAAGTGTCTGTGCTCTCTAGCTTCTATCCGTCCCCTGGGGAGGGAGCCTCGTGGACTGAGTGTCCAGTTCTGTGTAAGAAGAGGCCAGCAGCTCTGGGGGGGCTTTGGTGAGGGAGGTGGGCTGGGTGGGGGCCCGGTGCTGCAGAGAGGCTCCGCCCAGCCCGGCTGTGCAGGTTGTGCAGGCCAGGAGCCCTCTGCTCTGCCGCCCCTCACAGGTGCGTGCGGGTCTGTGCCCCGCTCGGCTGGGGTGTGGCTGCTTTCCTCCTGGCCTTGGTGTTCTGGCCCCTGCCCGGCGTCCGGACCCTGACTCCTGCCCGCTGCCCGTGCTGATGACTGGACGGTGGGCTCTGTCTCCTTTCTGCAAAGTCCTCCCAGCTGACCTCTCTGTGCGGATCACAGCGTGACGCTGGCTGCAGAGGGGACGTGGGAGGGGCTGAGACGCAGCCAAGGGAGCAAAACACCAAGAAAAGAAATGAGAGATAAGAGGAGGACGAGCAACCCAGGTCCCATTGCCCACCCAGGGGGCGAGGGCGCCGCCCTCATTCCCGGGGCCCAGGGTCCGGCTTCCTTTCCCTGTCCGGGGAGCGAGCCATCCAGCCCCGTCCCTTCTGCTGAGCCCCGGTGACTCGGGGTGGCTCCTCAGTGTCCGGGCGCAGGGACCTCCGTTCTCCCAGCGCGGTTTCCATGGCAATCCTGGCAGCCGAGGTGTCTGCATGTTTTGCTGGGACCCTGCGACGGAAGCCACCTCTGTTCTAGAGCGTGATGTGGTCCTCGGACCACAGCTGTACACTCGGCTGTACGCAGGGCACCCCGATGGACGGCACAGGCATCACAGGGCCGGTGACCCCACGGCCGGGCCCCGCTTGTGCCCCGCGGTGCGTTCCCCACCCTCTCCCACGCTGCACGGGGTTCTGCCTCCTCCTCCCGAGGACGTGGGTACAGTTGTAGACATGCAGGGGAGAAGAAAGAGGGGGTGGGGAGCGGAATGGGGGATATGGCAACAGGCAAGGGCTTCTTCCGGCCTCTTCTCCTGGCCTGGTCCCCCACTCTGACCTGTTATTCGGGTGCAGGGAAGTGTCCCAAATTCCCAGGGCATCCACCCCTCCGCCCCCAAGTGGAGCTGACCCCTGTGGGTTTGGGCTCCTCCCCGGGCCAGCCTTGCCCACCTCTTGGGGCCACACGCTCTCCCTTTCTCAGCGGGCCGCGGACTCCGCCAGCCGCGGGCACCGGCGAAGGTTCAAAGCGTTGGAGTCTTTGAAAAGTGGTCCCCCATGGGGCAGACACGGGCCGAATCTGGTCACCTGAGCTGGGTTTTGCAGAGAGCTCCCTGACTTCGGCCATGGGGTGGCCAAAGGTGGGGGCTTCTCCAGGGGGCACGCGGCGCTGCTGAAGCCGGGGAGCGGGGTGATGAGAAGGCTGTGCCACCTCGGAGCCAGCCCTGTGGCTGGGGTGGGGGTGGGGACTGCCAGGCCCTTCCCCGCGCCTTGGAGTCCAGCGCGGAGCCTCTGAGGAAAACGACGTCTGCACCCTGTGCGACCAGCGTCCCACCACAGCTGCCCGACCGTGGCCCCGTAGAAGGGCGCCTGCCTTGGTTACGCAGTGCGGGTGAGGGCACCGGGGGAGCCCCAGCCCGTCCAGGTCCAGGGACAGCATCTGCTGGGACCCGCCTCGCGTCACCTTTGTTCGAAGACGCCTGGGGCTGGCCAGGGGTACCCCTGCTGCTCTGGGACCAGCCCCCTGGCACGTCCTCTGCGGGGCCCACGCGAGTCCTGTTCCGTGACGCACGTGTGGTGAAGCGTGGTTACTGCACAGTCCCTGCCAGGGAGACGCATACCCCTCCCCCTCGACCAAGCGCAGGCCCAGAAGGAAATGCCTCTCTGGGCTCTTTATCAAGGTGGGGTGTGCACGATGGGCAGGTGGCGAGGGAGCCCCCCCTTTGCAGCCCACTTGTTTGTTTTTTTTAATCCTCACCCGAGGACAGTTTTGCATTTATCTTCAGATAGAGCGGGAGGGAGGGAGAGAGAGAGAAACATCGATGTGAGAGAGACACATCGAGTGGTTGCCTCCTGCATGACCCCAACTTTCGGGGTCAGGGATTGAACCTTCAACCCGGGTACGTGCCCTTGATTGGGAATCGAACTCATGACCCTTCAGTCTGCGGGCTAAACTTTTAACCGCGGAGCCAAACCGGCCCGGGCTGTCTCTTACTTTTGGTAGATGAATCCTGGTTGTCAGATTCCCAGAGACCCTGGGGAACCTGGGCACCTTTCCTTGTACCCTCGGCGTGAGCGGTGGGCCTGGGACCACGGGGCTCGCTTCCCCATCTGTCTGTCTGCCCAACCCAAAGGGCCGAGCTGTCTTTAGGAAAATTAGGGTGACCAGCTGTCCCGGTGGGCCCTGGCCGTCTCCAGTTTTAGCACCGGGGTCCTGTACCCCAGGAAGCCTCTCAGTCCGAGAACATTAGGACGGCTGGACACCCTAACCCCCGACGAGGTCGTGCGGGCTGAGGGCTGGCTCATTGCATCTCACAGGAGCCCGTGACTCATCTCCCCCGGAGCTAAGAGGCATTTTAATGATAACTGCCTCCCGCACCGACTTGCGGTTTGGCTCCGTGCTCACCTAAATCCTAGGTGTTTCGAAAACGCAAACTGTTTTCTCCCGAACTCGGAGATGTTTCTGCGGGTCCAGGGGGCCGTAGGTAAACCAGGTGCATGCGCGTCCCCAGGGTGGACACCAGGTGGCAGTGTGGCTCTGTGGTGGTGCAGGGCCCGCAGGCTGTGCGCAGACCTAGGCCTCAGGACAGTTCAGGACGGGCCAGGCGGTGGCTTGGTCACTGTGCCGACGACTGTGGCTTCGCGTCCCTGGAGAGTCGTGCGTTCGGGCCTCGGTTCCCACAGCGCAGGCCGCAGACGCTGGTGGCTGCCTGCGTCCCCTGCAGCACTGTCAGGGCCTCGTGCGTCCCTGCTGGTGGGGGGTCTGGTCTTCAGCTCCTTTCCCCCCGCCGGTCCCTTCCCTCCTGCCCCCCTTCTGTGTCTGCCGGTTTTGTGGTGACCGTGACTGCCCTCTCCCCTGGCACGACGCCGTGTTCGTTCCCGGCAGCTGTGCAGCCCCTGTGTCTGGAAGTCCAAGGTCCCCCAAGGTCATCCGCAGACACCTAAGCGAGGCGGGTCACACACCAGTGCAAACCCATGATATCACTCTGTCCGGAACGGCTCCTCTGCCCACATCCCCTCGTTACTGTAAAGCCGATTCATCTCGTCAGGAATGAGCAGCGTGGCTCTCCCTGGTGGCCTGGTCATTTCCTGGTGGCCTGGGTGTCCTGGGCTCCCCCGTCACCCTCACCCACCACACCCGCCCTCGGGCCCCGGGTGCGGACCCTGTCCCTGTGAGGCCAGCAGTTCCGGGCCTGGAGCTACCGTCTTGCTTTTCTTTTGTCCTCACCCGAGAACATTTTTGCATTTATCTTCAGATAGAGCGGGAGAGGGGGGAGAGGGGGGGAGCGAGAGAAACATCAGTGTGAGAGAGACACGTTGACTGGTTGCCACCCACACGACCCCAAGGGGCCAGGGACGAACCATAACCGAGGTACGTGCCCTTAGCGGGAACTGAACCCGGGACTCTCCGGTCCGCGGGCCGACGCTCTAACCGCCGAGCCAAACCGGCCGGGGCTGGAGCTGTGGTCTCGCACACACTCCGTTCTTGTGCCCAGCTTTCTGAGAGGGACCTTCTCGGTCCTGGCTGCCAGCGGCCTGGCCTCCCCTCTGCTTGGGATTCGTGGGACTGGGCCTCACTCAGCCCCTCAGTCACTAAAGAACAAGATGGGGGGTGGGGGCTCTGAGACATTCTCCCCCGAGGAGCCCCCCTCCCCGATGCCCCGGAGAGCCGAGATCTCAGAACCCCGCCCTCACTTTGTTCCCGAAGCCGCCGGGTGTCCTTCCCGCTAGCGAAGTCCCCTCCACCCTGACATCTTCAGCGGCAGCGTGGCGGATACCGGAGAGGGCTGGGTTCTTGCGGAGGGTTGCGGACATGATTTAAACCAATATCTCTCAAGCCTGTTTGTTCTGTGTTTATGCCGAGAGGCCCCGGCAAAGTGGGGATCTGCGTGTTTGTTTAGTGACTTTCAACAGGCAGACGCCCTCGTCGGGTGGCCGAGTCTCCAGACGACCCTTCTCCCTCCTGGTCCATCCGTTTGGGCCTGGGCGTCAGCGTCTACTTGCCCTCAGCTGCCCTCTGCCTGCGGCCTCAGTGCGGGGTTCCCCTTTACGGCCCCTCAAACGTCCCGGTTTCAAAACCCCTTGAGTTCTTTTACTCTGTGAATGCGCCGCCAAATCAGGTATAAACGGGGGTCTCGCTGCAGAATAAGTGAAGTGGGGGGAGCGATGTCCCACGATGGGGGGCAGCGAGGCGCCGGACCCTTCCGACACAGCTTTCGGGATCCTGGTCAAACCTTCAGCCCTTTGCAAACGTTCCCAAGCGTACAGTCAGCGCCGCTGCCCGGGGACCTTCCGTTTGGCCTTTTCCTGTCCCGGTGGAGATGCTGTTCTCTGCTCCGTGGGGCGGGGGCCGTTGGGCGGCTGCTATCGCCAGTTCAGTGTCCCAGCTGTGAGGACGCTCACGTGTGACCTTGCTTTCCAGGATGGACTTCGATGACGAGGACGGCGAAGGCCCCAGCAAATTTTCCAGGTGAGGGCAGTCTGTGCTCCTCAGACTAAGGACGCCCGGAGCCGGCCCTCACCTCCTCGGGGGCACACAGTTTACTGTTCGTCACTGCCCACGCCGCTCACTGCCTGTGGTCTGACCCCGTCCCGTCCCTCGTTCCAGGCCAGCGACCGGACACCGGCCGCAGCCCTGCCACGTCCTAGCCTGGACTGTCGACGGTTCAGTGACCGGCTAGTCACTCTGCCGGCTTTTTCAAAACAGTGACCGCCGATTTTTTTTGTTTTTTTCCAAACCTCACTCAAAGATATTTTCCCACTGATTTTTAGACAGAGTGGAAGGGAGAGAGGGAGGGAGGGAGACAGAGAAACATTGATGTGGGAGAGACACATGGATTGGTCGCCTCCTGCATGACCCTGACCAGGGCCAGGGATGGAACCAGCAACCCAGGTACCTGCCTTTGACCAGAATCGAACCCTTGACCCTTTGGTCCGTGGGCCGATGCTCTGTCGCTGAGCAACACCAGCCGGGCAACCCTTGAATTTCTAATCCAAACGAGACTCGAATTTACCAACAACAGTGTGTCTTGTTCCTCCCTCGGTGCTGGCAGGACCCCAGCCTGGACGTCCCCCCATTTTCCAGGGCAGATTGTGGTGACGTTTTGTCTCCGAAACGGAGCTCGCCTCGGAAGTGAGGGCGCCGGTCTCCCCGTCCCCGAGGGCCCTGGACGGGGAAACGATGACTTTTCATTTCTCGGGTTAGAATTCCCCTCGAGATAACGCTCCGTCCCACGTGGACTCAGGAAACGGTGGCCCCCGGGGTCTCGGAACAGAAAGAGGAAGAGACGCGAGGCGCGATGTTTGGCCTCGAAGGTCAGTGTCAGTGACGACAAACCGAGCAGGGTGACGAGAGCTTACTGTGCGAGGTCCCAGCACTGAGAAACAGGAGCCCCGGACTGCCTGCCACCGTCCCCCAGCCCGTCAGAGAGTCAGCGCTGCCCCATATGTTAACCATCAGGGACAGCCCAGCCCGTGCGGCTCAGTGCGGGGAGCATGTCCCAGGGACTGACAGGTCCCGGTTCGATTCCCGGTCAGGGCACGGGCCCAGGTTGCGGGCTCCATCCAGTAGGGGGCGTGCAGGAGGCAGCCGATCGATGTTCCTCTCTCACATGGATGCTTCTATCTCTCTCTAAAAAAATCAATAAAAACACATTTATTGAAAAAAATGAGAAAGAAAGCCAGGCTGGCCTTCCATGTGTTGAGTTTGTGGGAGCTGGGGTCTCCTGACTCCACCGGCTGGTGGGTGCGCCACAGCTGCTCCGAGTTGGTGGCCCCTGCTGGAGGCTGCCCCCTCCCCCCCGTGTCTCGCCGGTGGCTGTGGCCGTTGCCCAGGGGAGGGGTGTGGGGCCCACTTCAGGGTGTGGGGCCCTCCTGCCAGCAGAAGGGGATGTCCGAGTTCTAGATGCTTGTTACCAGGCCCCTAGGTTCATGGGAACAGTGGGGCGGGGTCAGGACATTCGGAGGGGCCCGAGGGGCCTGCAGGGGCCGGTGTCCCCCACGGACACCGAAGCTCGCGCAGGTGTGGGGGCCGCTCCCCAGGACGTGTGCCGAGCCCACTGTGTCTCCCACATGTCACTTCACCCAGTTGACTGGTAACCCTGGTCGTATGCTTCCCCCCCCACGCCCCCCGTCGCCTGCTTCCGGGAAGAGAGAACCACAGTGAGATCGAACGGCGCCGGCGGAACAAGATGACCCAGTACATCACCGAGCTCTCGGACATGGTGCCCACCTGCAGCGCCCTGGCCCGCAAGCCGGACAAGCTGACCATCCTGCGCATGGCTGTGTCCCACATGAAGTCCATGCGGGGCACGGGGAACAAGTCCACGGACGGCGCCTACAAGCCCTCCTTCCTCACCGAGCAGGTACTGTCCCTCCCGCGGCACCGGGAGGGGTCACCAGGGCCGAGGGCGGGACTGAGTCAGGGCACCTTCTCCACCAGGAAACCACAGGGGGTGTCTCACGCCGTCTCTGTCCGTCTGTCTCTGTCCCTTCGTCTCTCTCTTTATAATCAATCAATCAAGGGTGAAAACACAGGCTGAGGATGTGAGTCAGGGCCCACAGGTGCACAGGGACGTGCACGGAGAGCATGGTGACCTTTCTTCCAGTGGCCGCCCTTCTGCGTCTCTGGGTCTAACTACGGGCAGAGGCGAACGCTGGCCCCGAGTTCCAGGCGCTGGGGAGACAGCTGGGGGGAGGGTGGCAGAAGCGGGGGTCTGCCCCGTGAGCCCTCCCCACAGTGCGGCCACCAGCCCCCTCCCCCGTGACGGGACCGGGCCTTTCCCGGATGCCCTGTGCCCTGAGTTCCCCACAGCCCTTCCTGTTGGGAGGGTGTCCCCAACCCTGAAAATAAAAACGCTGACCCAGCCCTGTGAACTAAGTCAGCGTCCAGGACACACGGAGAGCGTAAGTGCAGAGCCAGAGAAAACGGACAAATAGGCCTTTCCTTCCAAGTCCGCTCCCGCCCCGTCTCCCGGGCGGAGGGTGTTAGAGTTCCAACCCCGTCCCGCGCTCAGCGGCCCTTACGAGGCCCCCAGGTTCCCCTCACCAGCGGGTCCACGCATTGTAACCCTTGGGCGTGGACACAGGACAGCGGCCCTTGGTCTCGGAACAGAGGACTCCCGCCAGGAGCACTTGCCAGCCACTGACCAGCCACGGACCGAAGGACGGACGGCTCTGTTCCCTGGGGCCTGAGCGGGTGCAGGGGGCGGGAGGCAGAGCTAGTTCCCCAGCTCCCGCAGGAAGGGGGCGCCCCGAGAGGGCCCCTTGGCAGGGTGTGAGGATGGCCCGGGCGGCGGACGCTCCAGCTGCCTGGGGTCAAGGCCCATCCCGGTCGCGCTGGGGCTGCCGGCTTCCTGCTGCCGGCTCTCAGGTCCCAGCGGCCAGCATGTCCCCGGGGCTGGCACACCAACCCTGCACCTCGCCGTGAAGTGCCCTGGACAGTGCCCTGTGCCCCGCCACCTCCTGGGGTTGTGCTGAGAGTCCGTTGCGACGCTGGCCGCCCAGCGGTTCTGGAGGTCAGGCAGTCGTGCGGACAGTAGGTGACATGCGTGTGCCCAGTGGCAGCGTTCGGTTCAGGCACAGGCAGAGAGGGTGGGCGCCCTGGCCAGGTGGCACAGGCTCGGGGGGTCCCACGCTCCTGTCCATTGGGCACCTCGCTTCCCCATTCTCTCTCCCCTCCGTCCAGGAGCGCCCTGGGCTCCAGCAACGTGACCGCCCTTTAACTGTCGGGGAGGCCAGTCTGTGGCAACCCAGCACCTGCTGGTGGTCGCCCCTTGTTCTCTGTCCACCAGGGCTGGGCGTTTCCTCCCCCAGAGGAGGACCAGCTGAGACAGGGTAGCTGTTTTCAGGGTTCGTACAGCTTTATGCATTTGTGTTTTTCTTTGGGGGGGGGTATTTTATTTTTGCTCTGTGCATTTAAAAAAATTTCATTTTGCAATTAAAAAAAAAAGCAGTCAAGCCCTGGCTGGGTGGCTCGGTTGGTTAGCGCCTCCTCCCAAGGCGCCAAGGTTGCGGGTTCAATCCCCGGTCAGAGTACATACACGAGTCAACCACTGAATGCATGGATAAGTGGAACAACACATCTCTTTCTCTTTCTGTCTCAAATAAATTAATAACAATAAAAATTTTTAATAAAGTAAATGCTTAGCCCGGCCGGTGCGGCTCAGTGGTTGAGCGACCCATGCACCGGGAGGTCGCCAGTGTGATTCCCGGTCAGGGCACGTGCCCGGGTTGTGGGCCGATCCCCGGTGAGGGGCACGCAGGAGGCGGCCAGTCAATTTCTCTCTCATCGATGTTTCTGTCTGTCTCTCCCTCTCCCTTCCTCTCACTCTAAAAAAATAAATAAAGGAAAAAAAAAAGTAAATGCTTAAAAAAACTATAATCCAAGCTCCCCAAACGACGCGTGCATCGTGAGCGCCTGAGAGAAGGCGGAAGGCTGCCCGGGGAGCGGGGGGTTTGCCGCTTCCTGACCCCCTCTCCTCCCCAGGAGCTGAAGCATCTCATTCTGGAGGCAGCGGACGGGTTTCTGTTCGTGGTGGCGGCCGAGACAGGGCGTGTGATCTACGTGTCCGACTCCGTCACCCCGGTTCTGAACCAGCCCCAGTCGGAGTGGTTTGGGAGCACCCTCTACGAACAGGTGCACCCCGACGACGTGGAGAAGCTGAGAGAGCAACTGTGCACCTCGGAAAACTCCATGACAGGTCAGTGCGTCTGCCCCTGCGGGCGCCCTGGGACCCTCGAGACAAATTCCGTTCAGGAAACAGATCAGGAAGCTGCAGGTCAGAAGCTGCCTGACGGTGAGGGGGTGGATTGGACTCGGCTTGTGCAACAGCTTCGTTTATCCTGCCACACAGTTAAAAAGCATTTTTAACCCATCCCCCACCCCCATATTTTACCTGCAATACAAGATATCGCCACCAGGGGGCGCTATCGGTATTTCAGCAGGACTACATTCCCTGTAGTGAGGTTTATGCCTCATGTGTGGCTGTTTGTGATGCTGGCCCCAGGGGCATTTATCACCCAGGCCCAGTACCTACGGTGACATCCCCCATCGAGGTATTTAAATGCATTCAGTTCTGCTATAATAATGTTCTTGTTAAAAAAAGAGTAAACAGACCCTGCAGTGTACAACATTGTGGAAGCCACAGGGCTGTGGGTCAGCGGAACACCCCTCACATGTTTGTGAGTGACAGTTGTGAGCCCTGGCCCGTTAGAGCAGTTAGAGCGTCGGCCCGAGCACCGAGGGGTCTTGGGTTCGAGTCCCAGTCAAGGGCATGTACCTGGGTTGCAGGTGCGACCCCCGGTCCCAGTCGGGGTAGTGCAGGAGGCAACCAGTTGATGTGGCTCTCTCATATCGATGTTTCTCTCCCTCCCTCTCTCCTTCCCTTCCTCCCTTGCACTTGTTCTAAAAATCAACGGAAGTCGGGCAAGGGTTAACAAAGCAAACAAAAACAACAAAAAACAGGAACCTAGTAAAAATGGAAGCACAGCTTCAACCGTAACCTGCTCTGTAAAGAAAGGCCCCAGGTCCAAGTCTAGTCCTATTCTGAGGTCCCGGGGGTTCGGGCGTCAACGTACGGAGTTGGGGGCACACATCCCGGTGCATAATCCTTATGATAAGACCGAGTCCAGTGTGGTCGAAAGTGGCGGATGCGCAGCTGTTTCTGAAGGACATGGGGACTCTCGGTGTTGGGATGAAAGGGAGGAAGAGGGGCTTTGTCTCACCTCTGTGTCTCCTGGCCCTGAGCTCCTCGTGCGTGTAACACGGCAGCCCCACAACAGATCAGAGACGTGCCCTGAGCCATGCTGGATGAGCCCACTTGGAAATCCCGGGGGCCACGCATTTCTGAGTTAAATGTATGGGAAGTTAGATCATCCAGGAATTGCTGGCCCGTGCCCATGTTCCGTATTTGACCACAGGATGTGGCTTTTTGAAACCGACTCAGGAGACCCAGCTGGGGCAGATGGCCGGGGAAATGATGACCAGGCTGTGGCCTCGCTAAGCAGGTCACACAGTAGGGTGGACACGTCTGTCCATGGGGAGTCTCCATGGGTCCGGCAGCACTGAAGGGGCCGTGTCACCCACATTTGGACAGAAGGGTCCTTGGAGAGGACACTGGATGGGTGGTGGCCATGGCGGCCGGAACAAGTGTAGCCGAAGGAAGACCCGGTGAATGGTGAACAGCCAGGCCTTCGAGCTGCCCCTGGCCGGGCCCCTCTTATGAGAACAAGTTGGACTGGAGAAGTGGGTCCGTGTCCCTGGGTGGGAGAGAGGACCGGGCCTCCCCGAGCACTTGGGGTGCAGTGTGGCTCCCCAGCAGCAGGACTGCCCCAGGACGGGCCTCGGGGTTTCGTTGGCGCTCAGCACAGGTCTTCGTAACCAAAGTGTAATAAAAACAGTTAATAAAAACTTGTATAATAAAAAAGTGTAATAAAAACATGTAATAAAAAACCTCAGGGATGACTTGAAGCCTTTGCCTGTGGGACTAGGGTCTCTCAAACCCTCCTGTCCCCTAGCACAGTTCCTTTCAGGCCAGAAAGGGGGGGTGTGACCCACCGTCATCCAAGGACAGACCGAGCCGTCACCAGAATTTTTTTCGTGGTTTTTTTTGTGGCTCTTTCGTTTTTCTTTTCTTTCTCCCTTGTGTTAACTGTAGGCACAGGGCTGTAGCTCCGTCTCTAGGACTTATTCATCCCGATAACTAGAACTTTATACTTTGTAAGCATCAACCCCCCACCTTGCCTCCCCTCCCCCAGTCCCTGGCACCCCCTGTTCTAGTCTCTGCTCCTGTGAGTTTGGCTATTGTCAGTCCCCCATGTAACTGGAATAACGACATCTAAGTTTACCGATAGCATCGCAAATGATAGGATTCCCTCCTTTTTCAGGGCTGAGTAATATTCCACTGCATGCATGTACCGCATTTTCTTTAGCCATTCCTCTGTTGGCGGGCAGTAGGGTTGTTTTCTTGTCTTGGCTACCGTGAATACTGCTTCAGTGAACATGGGGGTGCAGGTATCTCTTTGAGACCCTGCTTTCAGTTCTTTAGGGTGCACACTACACCCTCCCTGGTACGGCTGATGAAGGTTTATTAGCATCTTGGGGCTTCTATTTACAGCAGAAACAGAGTGCCCTCCCCTGTGGCCCCAGCAAGCATCCCAGGATGGGCTCCCCTGGCTCGCTCAGGCCACCTGCCCAGCCCAGTTCCAGGGGCCAGGGCATCCGAGCGGGTGTGAGGGCAGCCTGTCCACAGGGACCGCGGCCCCCGGCTGGGGGGTGCTCTCCCGGAGGCCGTCGGGGCACTGTCGCTAAAGCAGGAGGGCCTGCCCCAGCTGCTGGCTGGGGGAGCAGCCTCGGTGGTCTGAGGGGGGTCCTTTCAGGGGAGGGTGGGTGTTCTCCCGTCTCCAGGGATGCCAGGGACGTTGGGGTCACAGGATTTTGAGTGGAAAACAGAGCCAGCATCAGATCCAAAGGAGGCCAGGGCTCCGAGTGTGGTGCAGAAATGATGAGCGGATCCGGACCGGCCTGAACCCAGCTCGCCGGGAAGGGAGGGGAGCCGAGGACGTGCCCCGGAGCTTTCCGGCTGATTAGAGCTTCTGCCTGTCCCCGGACAGGCCCAGGGCGAGGCAGAGGGCCAGGGAGCCCCTCCCAAGGCCCCTGTGGCCGGTCCCCTCTGGAAAGCCTGGAGCCCGAGAGCAGAGACGCCTAGTCAGCGACCCCAGGCCTTGCACGGCGCAGGGAGCGCCCCAGTTCCCAGGCCGGGACGCGGGTGTGGGAAGGGGAACCCGTGGACGCTTCCGGACAAGTTTTGGGCCGTTCGCCCTCCGGTTCTGCGCCTCTGTGCGCTCACTCTTCCTCCGCGCAGAACTGGGCGGCATTTGGGTTTGGGGCAGAGAACCCGCTGTAGGTGGACTGTCCGCAGCGGCCAGGGTGCGAGCTAAGGCTGACTCCTCCCTCCCCCCCTCCATCTCCTTCATCTGCTCACTGCTGCATTCGAGGACTCACTGGTCGGTCCCCAAACACCTGTTGGCTCGGCCATGGGGGGTCAGCCGTTCCCTTTCCTTGTCACCGACAGCGTTCCCAGCGTCGCTTTATGAATGCATCTCATTTCCTAACTGTTCCAGCCCAGATTCTTTGTGATAACTTGGGGAGAGCCGGAGCCAGGATCGGTCCCCCAAGGGCTTTGGCCACAAAGGCCCCCGTGAATGACTCACGCACCCCAGTCAGCTGTGGTCCAGCTCCCCCGTCTTCCCGAGAGCTGCGCCCAAGTCCAGAGATCTCGGGCTCCGATCACAGGCTTTGGCCGGGCCGTGGTCTGGACACAGCGGGCAGGCCCCAGGGAGCCGCTCCAGCCAGCTCTGCTCGGGGTCCCCCTCCCCCCCGCCACGCTGCTTGAGGGGTGGGGCCACTGAATTCGCGCTCGGTCTCCCTGCGGGTCCGGGACAGAGGACACCCGGGGGACACTGGCACGTTCTGCTTTAATTCCGTCCTCGACCCTGGCGGTGGACTAGGATGAACTCTGGTGAGCTCGCTTCCATTAGTGGAGCCCGCCTGTTCCCACACGAGTGGCCGTCAGCCCGGCTGCCCGATAGAATCGTCACGGGGAGATGTGGCAGGTGCACCCGCCCAGGATCGGGGGCGGGCACTGCTGCTCTGGCCCGTCCCGGGCGCTTCCGCCGCACGGGGACAGTGAGCCCCTGCGGTGCCGGGGCCTCGTGGGGGTCCTGGGCGTGGGGCATGGTGGGCCCCGTCTCACGGGGGAAGAGCACCAAGCTCGACGTCACCGAGAGGTTCCCAGGGCCGCACAGCAAAGGCCGAGCAGCGGCTACGGGTGCAGATCATCGTCAGTGCGGACGAAGCTTTGTCCCCTTCAGGACACAGACGCCCGAACACCTTGCACCGCCCCACACAGCAAGTCCAGACTGAGTAGCTCAACCCAGGGCTCGGGGGCTCGACTCTCAGAGGGAAGACCCAGCAGCAGTCCGTGGGGTTCACGGGCCTGTGCGTGGTGGGTGCTGTCGAAGCTCCGAGACAGAAGTCTGACGCCCCGGGGGTCTCCTGGGTCCTGCAGGATCCCGTGGTCCCCAGTGGTCCTTGGCTGGCAGCACCGGCTTCACCTGTCCCCTCACTCGAGAGGCACATTCCCGCCGCGCTCAGGCCCGCTGCTCCGCTCCAGGGGCCCAGCGATCCGCGTCGGTGCCCACCTTCCAGTTTTCCCGATGCACGAAGACGGGGAACCCAGAGTTCGGGGAACCAGATGCTGGGACTGAGTCCATGTCAGCGCCGAGCATGTCCGGCCTTGGAGCTGCGTGTGCCTCCCTCCTGGGACGGGCTCGGCGTGGTTTTGTGGGACGTCTCACCCGCCAGCGTGGAACTGAAGGCAGGCACACCTTCGTATGCGGAGGGTACCCCCTGCTGGCATCGAGTGAGGGCCCCAGGGAGCCGGTGTCCCAGAAGGGCAGCCGCAGCCTCTCGGGCCGCCCAGGACCTGCCTTCCATAGTCCCCGGGGGTTTGCATGTGCGTGGACGTTTGAGGTGCCCAGAAGGAGGGGTTCAGCGTGTTGGTGGGGCGGGGGCATCCTTCAGCTGCCGGGGCTGGCCGGCAGGGGGCGCTGGCCCAGTGCATCCTGTGGTCCAGCTTGTGTCTGCCCAGCCCTGGACCGAGGGCCAGGCCTTCGGGGAGAGCAGCTGGAGGACCCTCTC